TTGTTTTGCTGAATTCACACACCTATAGTATTTAGATGCCAATGAAATACCCATCTCTGACAGGACTAATCAAAAAAAGGGGATACAAAGAAAGGACCATTTTGTATTTGTATATACAGAATAGTTAGGATAGATATACAGCTATTTTCGCTTAATTCAATGAGAAGAAAGTTTTGTAGTAATAGTGTTTGGACAGGATATCCTGTCTGCTTTTTGTACTATGGATAACCACTAAGAAGATAACAATGTACAATGTATTAATTATCGAAACTGTCCTATTAATCAGTTTTGAAACTGTCTCATTGTTATTTCTTAATAAAATAAAATAAAATAAAATAAAATAAAATAAAAAAGAAGTTACAGAGGATCATACCAGCACTCTGACTGTCTCTCAACTAGCCTAGCTGTGTTGATTTATACAATGTTGTACAGAAACAAGCAGCTGCCATTTGATAGCTACTTGTCATGGAAATTAAGACCTTAATTTCAAATTCTTTATTCAGCTCACTTAATTTGTATTTTTCAAACTGTGATTTCAAAATGCAATCCATTGTTGAGTGACCCTTGAGTGCTGAACTTTTACAGGAATTTCACTCATTCTCCAACTGAAAAATCTTTATGACAGCTCTGTAAGGTAGATGTTGTCCTTGTTTTACACATGGAGAAGCAAGGATTGATCAAATAGATTTGTATACAGTGATAAAACTTGACTTCCATGGATAGCACACTGGGAAATGTGGAAATTTAGAGACCGTGAGTACATAAGTCACATATCCTGGTACACTGGATGACTTTGAGTATGTCTCTTGTGGCTGGCATGTGTCACCATGAAAGTGTTCCAGGTGCTTCTGTCTCTTGTAAGATGGTTGTCAAAGGTCTTGGTTGACAGTGCTGGAGCACGTGAGAATGATGAGTGCACCCTTGGCTTCTCTTACTGCCAGAAACTAGGTACTCCACAGCTACCTGTACCTCATTAGCAAAAAGAGACTCACGGATGAACCTCTGCTGCTTGTCTAGAACAGCTACAGGAGGCAGATACCTATGCAGCACAGGATACCCCTGAGAGGTCAGCATTTGGCACCGATGAGAAATACACAAGTTGAAGAAAAGGTAAGGAAAAGCTGCCTGATTTTACTTCTGCAGAACACTCATAGTTGCCTAACGGAGCCAGGTAAACCTAGGGCTGTAACACCCCTCAGACACCCTGCTGCCCCCTGGCTCTGCCCATCCTTGCAGGTTGGGTTTGTTGTTGCCTCAACTCCCCTGCACCTGCTCCTGGCTTTGCCTAGAACTCTTATTCCTAGGTCATATCCTGACACAAAATGTCATTTCTACAAGGCAATAACACCCATGCAAAGGCTGGCCTTCTGTCCTATTTCCTTCCTGGCACTAAAAGCTATCAGAATTCAACAGTGGTTGTTATATTGCATATTGTTGTCTTCAAATTAGTTGTTCAGATTACCAGATATAAGAATGCAAAATTGGTCAAAAAATTTAAGCATTAACTGTTCCTTTCAATAGACCAATAGAAATCAGCAGTACAATTATCCAACCTATCTTGTGTATATACATATACATTTTTCCCTTCCTTTTTTCTTTCCCTCATCTGAGTTATTCCTTCCCTTTGAATTTCTATCATCTTGTTAAATTTTTTTTTTTAAATGCACTCATGCAAAAAAAGAAAAACCCATTAGAGCCTAAGTCCATTTTGCTGCTTTGCTGCACATGTGATCCTTTGCATGCCCCACGACTGGCCCAGCCTGGCCACAAAGCACATGTGTGGTATGTTACTGGGAAGATGGATGCTGAGGAATGGCAGTAAGTGAGTTGGGGCTGGCCAGTTCCAAACTCCAGGTACTGGAAACAGGACAGGAGGATAGCAGCAGCAAAGCCCAAAGGACTGTGGGGAGAGAAGGAGTAGGAGGGTCTGGGCCCAGAGGAATGCAGAGCAGGGTGCAGTCCTGACACATGCAGCCAGGAAGGAGAAGCAGGGAGGCTGCCAGTCGTTCTGTGTACACCAAGGACTGACATGGTGCCAGCATAGGATGGACAGAACGGGCAGCTTTCCTACCTGAAGGACCTGGTGGTGGCATGTGGTAGCAGGGACCTGTGTACTTTGCTTAGCACCCTGGCCCATGATTTCAACAACTCCCTCCAAGTAGTTGGAAGGGACAGCTGAGACTAGTCCCAGAAGGGACAGATAGGTGACTGTGGACAATAGAGGTTATAGAAGAACAGCCAGTGCCATGAGGGGAGCAGCAGCTGGGACCAAGGGCAGCCTCATCTCCAAAGGCAGGAGGCCAGGTGTTTGAAACCACAGTGTCATCACTGGGGTCCCTGTGCCCACTCACTGCTGGCACTGCAGGGAGAGCCTCCCTATGCACCCAGGACAACCCCAGACCATTGTGAAGGATGAGGGGTTCTGAAGGGCACAGTACCAAGTAAGGTGCTACAGCTGCACAGAGCCCTTTTGTGCTCCTAGCTCTGGGGCACAGATTGACATGGGTTAGGAGGTTGTGAGGCAGGAGATCAGGGGGTAGCAAAGTGGCCAGCAAGTGGGTGTAACCTGTCAATCACAGCAATTTGGACATGTGCAGTACATTTTCCAGGCCTTGAGCCTGATATTGGAGCACACAATTTCAATTTTTTTTAGTGCAAGATCAAGTAAGTTTTTGACATAGCAGGGTGGCCTACATCTGACATCAGAATGGATATAAAAGATGGAAGTCACTGTTTACTTGCTTTCTTACTTTCTTTCCCTCTCTCCCTCCCTTCTTTCTTCTTCACTTCTTTTTTCTTTCCTTCCTTCCTTCCTTCTTTCCTTCCTTCTCTTTCTTGGTGGCCCACTCTGTCCTCCATCTCTTGCCACTTTAACTGGGTGCTCACTCTGCAGAGCACCTTTTCTCCCTTATCTTTGATAAATGTAAACCTTGCTGCTTCATTTCCTGTCCAATTGTTTGTTCAGGACAGCAAGAGCCTACACAGGAGAAGACCACAGCACACTAGAACCCCACTCACAGTAGTGCCTCCTGTCACCTCTCCTTCTGTCAGGCCACACATGCCCTGGAGCTGCTCCCCTCAGAGCACTGCTGCTCCCCATTGTTCCTGGAGCCTCCCTCCCTCCCAGTCCTGAGTGCTGTATCCTGCAGGAAGGCAGGCAGTGGGAGGCATTGTGGACAGAGGCCAGGACTTCAGTCACTGTCACCATCCTCCTGCTGTTAACACAGCTAAGGGAGACATGCCTGGCTGTGCCTAGCCCCCTTCCTTCCTTTATTTCTGACAGGCAGGGCAGGCAGCAGTGCTGACCTCAGAGGACAGCCCTGGGAAGTGATGTGCACACTGCACCTCAGCCCCCACAGAGCCTGGGCTCCACACATGTGGCTGTGTATTTTCCTGCACCTTATGTTTTCCTCATAATTATAGAAAAATTGCAGGCTTCTTTAAAAATATATGGAAATGCAAAGAAGAAAAGATATCTATTTCTCCATTATTTTACTCCTTGGCTCTGTTACTAATTTCTGCCTTTCTTCTGTTACCTAACACTAAACTTACAGCAATTTAATTAATATTTGAAAAGCAGCTCTTAGAATCCAGGAAACAGGGTATCTAAGAAATGAACTGGGACCCTCACTGACAGTTTATACCTCAGTTTCCCTTCAGCCTTTCCATGAGAGGATTTCTCTGTGCCTGGTAGCCTCCATGGCAAGGCTGAAGACCCTGAGGAGATGGGCAAGTTTTCTATCTCCAGTAGGCACAATTTCCACACTTGTGTGGTACAAGTGGCAGTGTCCCTTCACCCTAGGGGCCAAGTTCAGGCCAGCACCCTGCTCAGTCTGAGGGAGCACCCTAGGTGATAACCTTAGGATCATTTTTTCCCCTCCTCACCCACAGAGCAGCAAGCACCTTTCCAGCTCCTATGATGTAACTGCCTGCACCTAGGCAAGGAGCAAGGCAAGGTGCATGCAATAGGTACTGTGTGGACAAGAGGCCCTGGAACCACACAGGGTCCTATACTAGGCTGGGGTAGGAGGGCGCCATGTCTGGATAATGCACCATTGCTGGTCTGGTGACGACCACCCAGTATCAGCCGTCACTGCTGTCACTTCACAGCTGTTGAGAGGAGGCAGCAGAGATGGGAGAAAGGGCTACGACACTAGTATGGGATGGTGATCAAGGCTTGCAACTGACTCAATGGGGTGCTCCATGGCTATGACCAAGCTGTACAACCTCTGTGTACCTCACTACCTCCACAGGTGAAACGAGTGCGCTTGGTTCCCCTTGGAGGACCAGCCCTCTGCAGGGTGCCTGGCCAAGATGGCACTTGCCAGTTCTAGAGTGCAAGGCAGGTCAATACTGACCATTATCACTTGTCTCAGAGGAGCCAGGAAAGGATAATTGGGGCTCTGGCCTAGGAAGCAGCCCAACTGCACAATGAGAAGTTCAATGTGTTCCGTGGACTCGAGACCTAGTGTCTCCAGGCCCTGATTTCCTGTGGTAAAGAACAGGGTTTGTCATGTCTACCTTGCAGAGCTGTGATAAAGAACCACAAAGTATTTGGAGAGGTTACCATTATTCTGGCCTCCCAGGAGCAACTGATAAATAGCAGTTTCTCCTCCTAACAGCAAAGCAAGAAAAAGCATCCAGAAAGTGCCTATGGCTTATCTGCCTGGTAGACATGCCTTCTCCTAGAGGTGAAGAGGCCAGGGCTTGAAATCTCTTCTCACCCATGCCAACAGCTGGCAGGTATCATCTTTGCTACAGGAGCTTCCCAGCTTCCACAGGAACCTTGTCTGGTCACTGGGCTTGGTGCAGGGTCACTATCTGTACCCACAGTTGCCAGTGGAGAGGTGGCTACAGTGGCCTCTCCTGGGACCCTCAGAGCACACTTACTAGGATTCTCAGCAGTTTTGACTCACTGCTTCTCTATAACATGGGGATCACAAAGGCTTGGCAATTCCACTTGAAACCAGATATAGCATAACAGCAAGTAGGAAGAATACCTTCAGCGTCACACCGACCACGTTGATGGCCTCCTTCACCTGGGGGTGGCAGGTACACTGCGCAAGCTCCTCGCAAATCCACACTCCCAGGGAGCAAATGGCAATGCACCTTTTTTAAAAAAAAGAAAAGGAGGAAACTCTCATGAGACAATATGTTTACTTGGCATTTTCAAATAAAATAATGTTTTACAACTGTTTATTCAAAGCAACATAATAAATAGCTAATTAATAGAACGTCTTCTTCAGAGAAAAAGAAAAAGGGCTTTTAATAGCTAAGTTTCTGGGACAAATAGGAACACCAGTGATGATTAGTATTTATAAAGTATGAATAATATACCTTATTATCCATAGCTAAATTAATATCAGATATAACCAAATCAATATCAGAAATTGCTCAATCTGTATCAGATAAAGTGGTCTCTAAAATAAAAAAATCACCCTTAGAAATACAGAGGATTACTAAATAAACATGAGGATTGGATTCACATAGAAATAGGATAACTCCAAACTTACATACTCATAATGTAACCTTAAACTATGTGTGTTATAAAGTTTGACAGAAATACAGGGAGAAATAAATGAAGCACACCACTATAAGGACAGATTTAACAAAGTTCAACTCAGTGAATGGTCAAGTTAAAAAAATCAGAAAAGATACAATGATACAGGATAATTTAAAGAATTTAATATAATAGACTAATCTAGAACATTATGCCCAACAATTAAGAACACTGTGTACATTTACGTGTTTTTAAAAAAATGTACAGAACAGCTACAAGATTGACTAGATAAATACCGGATTCTGAAGAAAATCTCAACAATTTCACACACAAGTATCAGACATTTTGATCCATTATACAATTAATTAAAACATTAGTAATAAAAAATATTTGTAGAAATAGCCATATGTCTGAAAAGAGAATATATATATATATATATATATGTATATATAATATTCATGATTTAGTGAAAGAATTTCAGTAGAACACAAAAAAATTTGGAAGGGAAAATACTACATATTAAAATTTTTTTGATTTAGATAAAGTAGCCTCTGGAAATAAACAGTCTTAAATGCTTATATTTGTAAAAGGAGAGAGGCTAAAAATATACTAAGTAGCAGGTAAAGGAATAACAGAATAAAAATAAAATTGAAAAATAAAAAGGGCTGAAAACAGGAAATAAAAACATAGTATCGAAGGCTGAACACAAATGTAAGACAAAAAAATTTTTTTGGGTGGAAGGTGCCCAGAACACAGTAAGACTGTCAAATCTTTGGCAAGAGTAGTTTAAAAAAAAAAAAATCAGTTAATACACAAAAAATGTCAGAGATTAAAAAGTGGATATAATTACAAAAGTCAGAGAAATTTTAAAAAATAGTATACTATTTGAAGTATACTTCAAAACTTAGATAAAATGGAAAAATTTATAGAAAATGTTAATTTATCAAAACTGCCGAGTGTGTGTGTGTGTGTGTGTGTGTGTGTATAGAGATGAAAATGGAGACAGTGACGTGGAGAGAGGAAGATGGAGGGAGAGGGTGAGCATCATAGTTTTCCCAAAACCATGGCAGAGTCAGTTGCTGACCTTCTCACAAAGACGATAGTAGCCCTAAGTGGTTTCATCACCAAAGTCTCCAGAGATACAAGAATATTAAGAGATTTTCCACAAACAATCCCCTACTGATGAGAATGAAACAGTCCTCTGCTCATTTTGTGAGACTCTGTAACTTGGAGCAGGATGGAGAAGGCATGGACAGGCCATGAATAGAAACCTAACTTCCCCGAACAAAGGATGAGCCAAGCCAGATCCAGCCCCATATTAACGGAGTCGGCTCTCTCCCCAAGCAGGAGTCTGGGTTAGCACTAGCGAGTTGATAATGAGTGTCTGGCTTCTGCAAGGGCAGACTAGGAAACCTGGGCTACGCTACCCACTGCAGATAACTGAGGACAGTTGAGGAATACCATTCAAAGAAGCTTAAAGTCATTGAGCTAAGAGGCTGGGGCAGTGGGATTGGCTGCCTCACACGGAGCAGAGCAGGGCACAGGTCCCCAGGATGGAGAATGGGCGCCTGGGATACCCTGTGGGGCCGTGAGCTGGGCATTCCCAGTCCTGGCTTCAGCCAGGATGAGAAGCAGTGCTTCCTCCTTCTGTGCACTTGGCTGGAGAACTGGCAGTCTTGTGCGCAGACTGCAGCGACCTGCAGGCCTGGCAGAAGCAGCCACAGTGTTCCAGATACTGCCCAGGGTCTCCTGGGCACAAAGCCACCCTCAGATGAGATTGCCACCCTATACATACCCCACTTTTATGAACTGTGGGGTATCCTTCCATTCTCCTTCCTACTGAAAACATCAGGGAACATATGTCTGTATTTGTTAGTTTACTTTTTTCTTACATGAAAGATAGCATAATACATACAATCTTCTGTATTTTTATAATCTTTAATTAATAAACATGACTTTTAAATAATCAAACAGACCAGCATGGTAGTACACACCTGTAATCCCAGCACCTGGGAGGCTGAGGCAGGAAGACTGCCATGAATTTAAAGCCAGCCCTAGGTGACACAGTGAGTTTAAGGCCAGTATGACTACCTGGTGAGACCCTGTCTCAAAAAACCAAAAATAAATACATAAATAAGCAGGCAAGTAAAGCATTTTCCTGACAGATTTCTTACTGTATGTATACTTTACTGTGTGTAAAAGTGAAGTGAAGGAAAAAGTGTTTTCTTTAAACATTAACTTGTTTACACATAAAAATGTACCTTAAAAATTCTAAAAGAGTTTACCTCTCGTCCAACATTTACCTTGCACATTCATTTGGTTCCTCTGTGGCATTCTTCAGTAAAATATTTATGAGGTAATGCTAAAAACACAAAATTAGGCAAAATAAAAACTTTGTTTATGTGTCATGGCTGGTTTTCCACATGACTGACCACACTCCATGCAGCCCAGAGCTACCAAAGGCCCAGAGCTCGGAAGCTCTGTGGAGTGGGGCTGGAGCAGAGGCAGGAGTGTTTCTGGGTAGTAGTGAAAGCAATGAGACTGCCAGGCAGGAAAGTCTCCCTTTACTTTCAGGCTGACTGGACTCTACATTGTACACTGAATCATATACTGTATCATGTATTATAAATCGATTGATTCATGCTGGAATTTATTTTAGTTTGCCTCAAAAGTCAGTTGAGAGGGGCTGGAGAGATGGCTCAGTGGTCTAAAGCACCTACTTGGAACAAGCTTGGCAAAGCATAGGGACCGCGGTTCAATCCTCCAGCACCACATGCCAGCCAGCCGCGCCCCCTGGTGGGCTGAGCTGGCCACACACACACACACACACACACACACACACACAATGTTAAAATAAAAAAAAATTAAAAAAAAAAACTACCCTTTAAAAAAAAAAAAAAAAAAAAAAGTCAGTTGAGAGATTAAGTACTTTTATTCTCCAAGAAATAATTTGAAATTTCAAATTATCAGTAGTATTTAATCAGGCCAACAAAGTTTACTTAGTTTATTTCAATCACTTTATAAATTCACTTGCTGCACTAATGCAGCATAACTAAGCCAATGAAAGTATTACAAGGGTTAACTCATTACATGATTTGGATCCCAAGGCACAATAAACAGATCTAATAAAAACACTGAGGAGTGGAGCTACCAGGTCTAACTGCAGCGTGCTCTGACATGTTTATAGCCCCTTGAACAGACTTCTGAAAACAGTTACCAAAACACTGAAAAGATGCACCAAATTTCAGGGATGAGTAGATCAGTGTATAAAAATGGAAGATACAGCTGGAACTATAAAATGCCAAACTGGAGATGTGATCAAGTGCATCACATACCTTGACATCTTCAGTTCCGGTGACAACCTCAGTTACTTCCGGCACTGATTGCAGTAATGGGATCTCCCGGTAGATGTTTGGGAAGCAGACGAGGGATCCAAGGATGGTGAGAGCTTCAGAACGAGGTGCCTAAACATGAGGAGAGGGGAGCACACAGCCTTCACTCTGAGAAGCAATGACATACTTTACTTCTCTGTGGCTTTAAGAAGGAATCGGGATAGTTATTTCATCATGATTGGAAATATACTACATACCTGCTGATTTTCCTGATGAGTATTTAAAAAACTAATTTACAAGGAATGGGAAATACTACAACACTTAGACATAAACAGTGCGAGCTGGTCTTCAGATTCATTCAAAATTAGGCACATAACTGAGTCTTGACTGATGAACACTGTTTTACTGTTGTGTTCTTCAGAAGGCAGGGTAAATGACACCAGCTTTTGTTGTGAAGGACAATTAAGGAAAATTCATAAGGATGTGGTTTGGAAGTAGGTGTCACAGAGAGGACATCATCTACCAAATTTCTTGTATTGTATAAGGAATGGCTTTGCAAAATAATATACAATGAGCTACTAAGTCACTATATCTAGTGAGATACTAATCCCTTATTTGTCCATTATCAGACTTAAGTATATCTTAAAGAAGGCACATCCCTAGATTTCTACTCAATCTCGCAGCTAGGAGTAGCCTAGAATGGGGGTAGGCACAGTATTTCAGAGCACACCATCCAGCTGTTGCCCATCTGTCCATCTGACCTTCTATTTTTTAAAGAATGACAATGGCAGCTAAGACTTCAGGAGATCTCACTCTGTCAGGTACTGTTCCAAGTGCTGCAAAGCATTTCTCACAGAGTCCCCTCAACAACCCAATGGGGGTCAGTACTACTATCATCCATATTTTCCCTGAGAAAACTGAGGCTAAGACAAGTTGAGGAGCTTGTCAAAGTCGTCTAGCCTGTTTAAGCAATGGACCCTAAACGTGAGCTGAGGCCACCTAAGTCAGGCCCACACTAGGCCTATAGTGTGAAATAAGAACTTCCTTCCTTAGGCTCCCAAGGAAGGAACATTCGGGATGGAACAGGAGAGCCAGATAGAAATTTGAAGTATTAAGTTTATACATTTGCCTTCTCAAGAGTAGGGACCTGTCAGACTCATCCTGCCAAACTCAAGTCCTAGCACACAGTAGTCCATGGTGAGTGTTTCTGAAGATACACACTTAAGTTGCTTCTACAACTTGGCCATTGAGAATAATGTCACAGTGAACAGGCAAATGCAGGTATTTCTTCAAGACTCTGGCTTCATTTCCTTATTTCAGAAGTGGAATTGTTGGATCACATAATAGTTCTACTTTTAATTTTTTGAGGAACCTCCTTATGGTTTAGACCTAAAATGGCCCTCAAAATTCTCATGCATTTGACAAACAACTAGGTTGTGGGCCTGGTTAGAGGTGAGTGGTATGCGGCATAACCTGGGAGGGGGTGTTCTTGTTGCTGGCTTTTCCTTTGTTCTGTTTTTCTGACTCCCATGCCTTAAACAGCTTTCTTCCTCCACACACTTCTACCATGCCATTTCCACCTTGGAGCCAGCCAACCATGGACTAAAACTGGGAACCAAAATAAACCTCTCCCCTTTAAGTTGTGGGCGACAGATATTTGGTCCCAACCATAGAACGTTGCTAAGACCACCATTCCTATTAGATTACAGAATGGCCATACCAATTTACATTCCATGAGCAGCGTACAAGGGCTCCCTTTCCTCCATATCCTCAAAACTGGTTTCTTCTGTCTTTTTAATGACAGTCATTCCAACAGTTGTGAGATGGTTATCTCATTGTGGCTTTAATTTGCATTCTCTGATGACTAGTGAAGTTAAGTATTTTTTTCCACATATATGTCAGTCAATTGCATGTGTGGGAAGCTACTTTTATAGCTCAACCAGCTAAGAGAAACATCTTCACAAAGAATGGTCACCATGGAGAGGTATATCACATATTTTGCTTTAGCATTGTTACAGGAAACTCTCCTAGCAAATAATAACAATACTTTTCAGTAAAGAAGTATGATCTTCCTGCCTGGATCTTATAAGTGTTTTCTTTTTTTAAATTTCATTTCATTTTTTTTGGTACCATGAATTGAACTCAGGACCTCACACTTGCCAGGTAGAAAACTGTACCACCGAGCTAAATGCCCAACCTTAGTTTTTCCCATTTGGTTTAAATCATTAAAAATAAATTTGTTCTTTGAAATTCAATCAGCCTAAAATATTTCTCAGCAATACTATCCATAATGAAGTATGAAAAGTTGTCAAATTCAGCATTTTTCTTTTCAATTTTTTTCTTCCCTCATTCTCCTTGTCTTTACTCCCTTCTCTTGGCTGTTAACTTATAAGATAGTACATGAAAAGATCATCATGAAATATCACATATACAGAAGATTAAAAATGCTTACAACCTAAAGCCTGGAGTTTGAATTTGCCTTGCTGGAAAAAAAAAAAAAATAAGTGGAAAGAAAAGCAAACATGCATCAAACAAAATCTAGGATGCCGGCTTCTCTTGATGACTTCAATGCAAATTCCTAACAAACAGGAAAGCTTGTTTTATTTACACCATTTGAAGGGGGGGAAATGCCTGAATTGATAACTGTTGTTCAGAGCACAAACACTAAATCTTTTAAATTTAAATGCAGAAAAGTATTCTTTCAAAAGGCACTAACGCATTGTGAGATAGAGGCAATAAATGTAAAGATGGAAAATAAACTCCTTTTGCAACCTTTAATGTCTAGCCCATTTGCTACTACTTTTTCAGTTGAGAACTGTGCCAGTATTTTCTCACACATTTATGAGGAATGTATATTCATTTCTAGTTAAAATCTTACTGTTCTAACATTTTAAGAAAATATTTTTGAACTGAGAGTATAGCTCAGTGGATTTGATCCCCAACACTACAAAACTAAATAATAAACCAATAAATTGATATTTTCTATAAGACTCACAGTAACCAAAACTTAAAACTGCTAATGTACACTTAAAATTCTCTTTACTTCAGATGTTTATGTCTATACCCCCATTTACTAGCAAATGCTAATAAGATTCTAAGAGACAAGCCCTGCCTCTGACAGTGTAAATGTGCTGAGATATTAGTGAGGATATGATTTCTCACACTTTGGCCTTTTGATGAAACGCCTTTCCAATACTGGTGTGTCATCTTATCCTACAATTTCACACGTCAGCTGCCAGGGTATCTACCCTGAGAGCCCAGTTTCACATTGCACTAATGAGTCGACACCTGTTAAGAGTAGAGAAATCTGAACCTTGTCAGCGATCTCGAGGCCTCCTGGGAGCTCTGATCTGAGCATTGTCATACTCACCGCCAACATGTCCGTGCTAAGGACCCTGGCCGCGGCTGTGATGAAGTCCCCCACCAGCATGGAGAAACCAGGCAGACCCAGGGAGAAGAAGCGGGGCGGGCAGTGTCTTATAATTATATTCAAGATATCCTACAAAGGAAGAGAAGTATGCATGAGTAAAAATTTTAGGTCAAAATTTCAAAATAGTTTGTGTGTGCATAGGACCACTGTATAACAATGTACAAGGATTTGGAAGCTAGACATTTTTCAGGGATGGGGTACAAGAGGTTAATTACTCAATGATTATTGTACCATTTTATAGGGAACAGAAGGTAGATATATAAATAAAACCCCTGAACACCTATCACTACAACAAAGAATAGATTCTGTCTTTAGCTTTGGATTTTCAAAGAGAAAGCAAGCTGTTACATTTTTAAAAACCCTTAAAATAGGCAAAGAGATGAAAATTTCAATCTTGAGGTAACTGTATGCGTTACGACAGGGAAATACTGTGATCAGGGGTGCACTACAGCCAGGGATTGGCATGATCTAAGCATGCGTGTGATCGCAAGCCCAAGTTGAAAGTGCCAGGTGACCTTCTGTGTGGGATGGAGCACTAAGTGTGTCATCTGCCTGGACGCCTGTGCCCAAGTCCATAATAGCCTGTCAAGGGTGGCCAGCTGGAATCTCTCAATTCCTGCCCCGTGCTGAGGTGTTCACCTCATCCTTGCCTCTGGCAATTAGAAAGCAGCCCTGGAAAAGGATCACACTATCATGGACAGGCCATAACTCTGAGTGAATGGTGTGTGTGTGTGTGTGTGTGTGTGTGTGTACACAATGCAGTGGTGAGTAAACTGCAAACTTCACTTAGGCAGTTTTTGTCAGCATCTCTATCAGCTATACTGAAGTACTACTGTTTTGTGACTTATAGTTATACAACCTGTAATTAGTATTAATATGCAGTTAGGTAAGACGAAATAAAGACTTTGGGTTTCTTAGTTTTTAGGATCTAGAAAATCTTTCAAAACAATTCTTATTTAATTGTGTTAAGCTAGAGCTAAAGTATAGCAACATGTTAAATTCTAATACATGAACTCAAATCCTTCATAATAAAAATAACCTCATTTAACAACTTGACTTCTTTAAACAATTTCTATATGTTCACAAAACATATTTTCCTCCTATAATAAACTCACTGAATTTCCCTAAACCACACTATTTACATCCTGAAAACAACTGCATCATGTTTAATGTTCTAGAACTCACATATGGCAGTTTAGCAAGCCCTAATGTAAAGTTTTGGCATTTCAGCAGACTTTTTCCCTATACCCAAAACAAACAGATAGATAGACAGATAAAAGGAGGAAAGAAAGGGAAGTCAACCTGAACCGCACTTCTTCCCAGTTAATGTTTAAACCTGCTTTAATCACGTCCTGCCATACACTTTAGGGCCCATATCAGCCAAGGCAAACATTCTAAGGGGCCGAGCAGATGGGTGCTGCAGCTTAGAAAGTGTGTGGTAAACTCATGCTCCCAGAGTGGAACAAAAGATCCACCTTTTTCATAATTAAGCTTCTGATTAATGCCCTAGGCTCCTCACCACACACCTGTAATTACTCACAGAGGTACGCATTGTGCCGGGCCTTGTCTGGGAATATCAGGCATCAGGCTCTCCGGCGGCAGATGGAAGCACATTTCTGTTGACATATGCTGCAATGAAAGAGTTCGTGCAAACCTGGCGAGCAAGGTAGCAGAATGCCATGCATCTGAAGATTAATAATGCAAACAACCAGGATGTTAACTTTGTTATGTTTGTGTTAATTCCATCTGTTGAGATGAGGAACTAAAACTCTGTAGCCTATGGGCTTTAAAGACCTTTAGCGTATACTTAAGTCAAATAAGCCATTTTTACCACTGGAATTTTGAGATTTAATTAAAAAATGCTTTTCTAGGATATGTTTATAGGACTTAGGAACTAAATCTTCTAATAAGCTAAAGCCTGCATTTATAGATAGAATCCATCTTTCTTTATAATATCCATTCATGTAAAGGCATTGATCTGTGAGGGGCATTCAGGAAAAATTTTGAAGTTGCCACCGATGCTGAAGACCACAGTTCTGGGAGGAGCAGAGTTCCACAGTTGCCCCAGGCCCTGGACCCCAGCCAGGAGTTACTTCAACGGAACCTGTTTCCATGGGCAGGAAGATGGAAAAGAGAAGGCACAGCAACAGATGGCTGGCCTGCCCTCCTCGGCCACCCACGGGAGTCAGCACCCAGAAGATGTAGAGGCTGTGCCAGTCACCAAAGATGGCACCAGGGCAGGGTTAACACAGAGTTAGGGAAGGTGCCACCTGACCAGCCAGCTCAACAACAGCCGCAGACCCACTTGCCGTGCTCAACCGCACATAAATGGACTGACCCAAAGCTTCCATCTCTGTGATAACACCATACATGCAGCAGCAACAATGTGCTGGTTGAAGACAGCAGCTGTGTGTTCCCCCAAGAGAGAACCCAGAGAGCTCTGCACATTTGCAACTCACAGCAGGACCCCTGGTACTCCTTCCCCTCTAGAAGCCAAGACCATAGTTGTAACTAGAATCTCTGGAAACATGAAACAAAAGGCCAAGATTGTGAACCTTCGCCCAAGGTCTCACACGCCCATACAGCAAGCCCACCCTCGCGCCTTCCATAGCATCCACCCTCAAAGTAAACATCTTGCCTGACAGGCTTTTTAAAGTGATTCACTTGATTTGAACTTAAAACTATTCTGGAAAATGAATATCCTTGGTCCTAAATAGAAAATGCCCCTGAATCAAACAGTGACAGCAAGCCAATGATACTGAATTTTTGCTGGAAACATCATTATCTGATAGTCTAGGACTTTCTTGCTAAGACAGTGGCTTGCGAGGTCACAGTGCTGTCAAAAGTTTGCTGCCAACCCCTGCATCACACCCACTGCAGGGGTCACTGTCCCTCAGTACCATCTCTGTTGTAAGTACCTACAGGAATCACCCCTGAACCCACACTTGGCCAATACAACTCCAGATTCAGGGCCACGAGGCTTTGGCCAAAGTCTATGAGGAAGATCTGGGAGATCACATTGTGCCCAGAGCTTCACATTTCGCTTCCATGAAATGGGATGATCCTCCCTTAAAAAGTTCCAACAGCAAAGAAGATGTGGGAAAATGCCTTTGCAACCTGGAAAGGGCCATGCAGGAATAATCAGAATTGCAAGGAAAAGAAGAAAAGAAAAGGTCTGCTAAAAGGACAAGGACTCTGAAGTGTTTTACTTTGGAGAATGCATAGGTTTAGTTTCTATGATTCAGTAAACTTCTTTTATTGATTTACTCAAAGAATGTTTAAAACATTTCAAAGGGGGCACAGACAAGCCTCTTGGATCACAAATGACCCTAAAAAGCTCTGGAAATTAGTGCACTCAGACAATGTCCTTACCCAAGCATCGCTGCAATCAGCCACAGGAGTACAACCTCAGAGCAAATGAGGAAGCTAAGAGGAAAATGACTGTTTCAGATTTTTAGTTTCATTCCTGTGAGAAATATTAGAACTTACCCTAAACAACTGAGTTTGGTAGCAAGAACTAGTTCCTTTTCCACCCTCTGAAGAGAAGAAACCATAACCTAAGTAAGCTCAATGGCAAATGAAGCCTAAATGAGGCACCGCATGTGTTCTGTCAAGCTGACCAGGATGAAGCAGGATGATTCTGTCAAGCTGACCTGGATGAATCTTTCAACGTGATTTTTGTTCAAAGGAGATAATCCCACAAAATGCTGTAACACGGGGAACAGGTGCACCAAGCTGGTGTTTTTCTCTTGTTTTGGTGAGAAACCTGCAACACACTGCCTATCAGGTGTGAGAAGCTGGCTGTAAGGTGGCATCTGTGGCTCACCCAGTGATTCAGGTTTATGAGAAAGGCAGTGAAGGACAGCATCTGTCTCTTATCACTGAGCTTGCAAAAATCAGGTAATTCAAACAGAGGCGTGTTGCTTCCTCCCTTCCAAAGCACAGCTCTATAAACATGAACCGTACTTAGCCCAGTAAATGAATCGCTTTCACTGAATGCTATGTACACAGTAACTGGAAAAACCGTAAGGGATAAGAAAAACATATGGTGATGGCAGCAGAAATTGGTTTCTTCGTTTTGCATAGTGCTGTTTCTTCAGTTCTCTTATAATTGACCCTTAGAACGATAAATGTGTAAAATAATTTTGTTTATTACGGCTCCAAACCTTCCAACAATTACATAAAATGAAAATTTAAAAGGAAGGATTCATTCTGGAAGCATTTCCATTGTTTACATAATTGCACAGCTATAATTTAGTGCTTGTGTTGTTATGGAAAATAAAAAAAGGGGCCATTATGGACCATTTTGATTCAAAATATTGCACAGTGGTGTCAAAAATGGGGGAAAATGTTCACTTTACAGCAGTTTAAAATGGATTAACCCTGCAAATAAAAACATTTCAATATAGAATTCTATAAAATACAAATGTTCAGGAAGTAGCCATCCCTCAGACAGTATTAGAAATGTACAACCGCGCTCTCACACCGATTACATATATGTCATTCACTAATATGTGCTCACAGCAGCAGCCAATGGCTGTAACACAATAGCTGGCCATCTGTCTCCCTCTCCCAGCCTCTCCTCCGTGGCCACACGCCCGCTTCTCAAGAGCAAACGGATCCGCTTATCCCCCCAAATAGCTCAGTCCCCCTGCGAGGCCAAGCAGAACCAAGAAATTAAAGTGGGTTTGCTAACCCGTACAGCCCCTCCTTTCACTTCTCACTTTAAGAAACTGCAGCACTATGAGTTAGTTGACTTCATCACTATTTTTCAGGAAAGATGTCGGTCTTTTCTTTAAGAAGAAATTCAATTGGAAGCTCTTGTATTTGGGAAAGTGGGAGATGCTAACCTCTGCTTATTCTAGTGATCTGGCTAATAAAAAGACAGGACTCAGCCCACACTTGTCTAATTAATTATAAAACTATTTGAAAGCAGAAGAACACTTTGGACACTAACCCTGGATAAAACTTAAACTTTCTATGACAACTAATGGGAGCCACATCCTACAGTACCTCAAGGACATTCTTGGAAACAGCAGTTTCTGCCTTCCTGGCAGAGCTCAGAAATG